GAAAGCCATGATAACCATCCTTATTGGCAGGCCGCTTTGAACAAGGCCGTATTACCTTTGCGGGCTCATAGTTCCGGACCTGCTCCCATAGGGTCTATCGACGGGATCTACGGGAAGAGCTGTATCATGTAGCTGACTACCGTACGATTCAAGGAAAACAAGGCCGGGCTCGACAATGGCCCGGGAGGCTGACGATATACATTTTAAATTTACATCCATAGATAAATAGATAAGAAGGTTTTACACCACTCTAATCGACCCCTACCTTTCCAACACCTTAACCATCATCAAAAGCATCCATCTGTTGAGCCCCCACTAATGCTTCACCCAACCCCAAGCGTGGGCCTGGCCCTACTCTCCAGGCCATTTGGCATTACCCGTCAAGTCCGTGCGGGTAGTTCAGTTCACCTTGTCCTTAGGAGAGGCTATATGAAAGCTTCTGATCCCAAAATTGGAATACGCTCTAGTTCTACACAAGTGACTGTTGCGGACGCGATCGAGAGCAAATCAGTACCGCCCATAGTGGCGCCCAAGAGACGGCCAATTCCGGGCTTCCCTCTCTCCTCTCTCGACAATACATCACTACTCCGCTCGCTTCTCATTGCGGTTGTTTCTTCAAATAAATTTTTACTTCTGCCCGCCCTCCACACCCTCTCTTTCTTATCAAAACCTACGGGTGGCTTCATACTCGATGTCGACAGAAACCCACTTCTGCACGGAATACTCAAGAAAACATTCTACGATCAGTTCTGCGCTGGTGAGACGGCAGAGCAGACCAAAGCTTGTGTAAATCATCTGAAGAGTCTAGGGTTCCGCGGTGTAATCCTCACATACGCCAAGGAAACAGTCTTTGATCATGAATCGCAGAGTGCACACGAGCATGGCAAGAAAAACGAACTAGATGTTTTGAGCAACTCCAAGGGTGCCAGGGTAGACCCAGATATTGATGCCTGGAGACTGGGTACACTGGAAACCGCAGACCAGATTGGTGAGGGCGATATCCTGGCTGTGAAGTATGTTTGACCTGACTCCAACCCACCTGATATGCTACCAAACAGATTTGAAGCTGACCCGAATGTCTCTAGACTGACTGGTGCTGGTACGGCAGTCACTTCAGCATTTGCTGCAGACGAGACCCTCCCTCCACAGATGATCGAGGCCCTAGACGAGATCGCTGCCTCGTGTAAGAGACGCAGAATCAGGCTGATCGTCGACGCCGAGTCCCAAAGATACCAAAAAGCCATTGATCGTGTCACCGTCGACCTCATGCGCAAATTCAACCGTGACGGATACGCCGCGATATACAACACCTACCAAGCCTACCTCAAGGCTACCGGCGCCAACATCGCCAACCATCTCGCGGAAGCCAGCAGGGACGGCTTCACGCTCGGGCTGAAGCTGGTCAGAGGAGCGTACATCCTCTCAGACAACAGATCGTTGATCCACGACACCAAGCAGGACACTGACGACGCCTACAACACCATTTCGCAGGGTGCACTCAAGCAACGCATCGGGGAGTTCGGCGCCACCCGGCCGTTCCCGTCGCTCGAGCTCTTCTTGGCAAGTCACAACAGAGAGAGCCTGCTTGCCGCACTGAGGCTGCACCAGGAGCGGGAGCGGGAGGGAAAGCCAACCGTGAACGTCTCATTCGGTCAGCTCCACGGCATGTCGGACGAGGTGAGCTTCTCGCTTCTGCAGGAGACGAAGCAAGGGGCGGTGGGACCTGGCGTCTTTAAATGCTCCACATGGGGGAGCATGAGCGAGTGTCTGGCTTATCTGGTGCGGAGGGCGGTGGAGAACAGGGATGCGGTTCTGCGAACTACGGAAGAGTATGCCGCTCTGAAGAGGGAGGCGGGGAGGAGGATCAAGTCGATCTTTGGTGGTGTAGCAGTCTAGTGATCAAACAAAAAGCGTCTCGATGACTGAACCAGACGCCATTGTTGCAAGGGTAGATGATAGCGTGTCAATGAATTTGAAGTCAAGCCAGAATAGGGAGCCATAACTCCCACGATAGTTGCTAGTGCCAATCATGAATCAGATGATTGATACCGAGCCCATGTTTGTGCATGGAGCATGGTTGGTACTAAGAATATCCCTACCATACCCCAGCTCCATCAGCAATTAGGCGGCGAATCAAGCGGACGACTAATGATAGCGACGCCCGCTGCATACAGCACATGCCTCTCTAGTGAGAAAGAGGAAGTCATCACGCATGATGAGCATTAGACTATCGAGAGGAGGGCAAAGATACCGGATCCAATCGCCGGGCCGGTATCAACACTCCACATTGTTCCGGACCACGCATCCGGTCGGATCTAGGTGTCCGATCTACTCAATGCACGGCTGGTGCTTCCTGGATTGTGAGATGTGCCTTGGAGGCCACCGAATATGAGGATCGGATACTTGCCAAGGTAGGTTGATTGGAATGACGCGATCATCTACGGTAATGCCGTGTTCCGTCTCTACAAAGTTAATGTTTGATATACCAGCCCGATTCTTTTAAAGCGTGCTACAGAACTTTATATTGATTGCATTCTCATTTCTATTGAACCTCCTTCGCGATACTTCAGTAAGGACTGGCAAATAGGAGCTCCAAAAAGTAGAAGAATAGATTCACTGACTGGACGACCCATCGGTATCACGGTTTGATTCTATAGTCCCATTTTGCTATTATTCTTGTGTTACGCTTAGTATTCTCCCACTATTAACGACTTGTGCCTGATATATGAATATAAGTTTATCACAGGGGCACATTCCCCTTCTCCCAACATCCAACAAAAGCGTCAACGGTGCCATTCTCTCTATATTAGTCTCGTAGGTGCACAGAGCTAAATTGATTCATGGGGTCGTGTTCTTTCTCAGGCTGTCAGGACCTCCGATATCCACCCTCATGACTGCTGACTGTGTTCTTTGAGCTCTTCCGCAACGCGTATCATCAAACCAGTAGTCATGATTCAGAACAAACTGCCCCTTTTCGTACGTCCGTCGAGCCCCGATGTTATCAAAATCAACCACCAGCACGAGCCTCGTCTTTTTCCCACCAACTATCTCCAACGCCTTCTCCTTAGCATACTCAACCAGACTCACTCCCAGTCCTGCGCCTCTAGCATTCGGAGCCACATACATCGCATACAGACCGAAATAGAACTCAATTTCGTCGCCCATTATTATTGAAGGCGACTCTATCCACATGTTGTTCTTGAACATTGCGACTGCTGCCTCCTTGTCGAAGGGACCTGAAAGGGTGAGGGAAGCAAGCCATTCTTCTTTGAGGAGCAAGTCTCTTTCCTGTTCTTTGTTCCCTTCGCTCCCTGTGGGGTTTCCGGAGACAGCAATTATGTTTGTCGAGAGCGGGCCACATACTCGTTTGATCCAGGTCTCATCGGGGAAAGCGATCTCCCGTTCATAGGATGAGCTAAATGACTCGGGGGACTGCTTCAAAGACAGCAAGCGAAAGGCCTTGTATCGCTCGATGATCGGGTCCAGTTTCTCGGCTGGAGCGAAGGTCTTCGGAAGAGAATAAACGGCCATTGTGTTTTCAACGTTTGTTTCTTGCTTCTCGTTCGCAAATGTATCGAAAGGAGTTTATTTGTACTGGTGATGCTGAGAGATTTGAAGTGAGTCATCTTCCCATCCCCGCTTCTGATATTAGGTCAGCAGTGAGGGTGCGTGAGGCGAAGCATGGCGTGATACTACCTTGGGTCATTTCTTGAGTCATCTTGAGTCATACAAGGAGGAAATGGGATTTAGCATGCAAGTTATTCCAGTTGGAGCATAATGACTCTTTAGATTCTTGCCCATGAATTGCGCTGATGTTGGCCATTCTATAATCTACCAGCCGAATTTCACCTTGGATCGGCATCGTAGGCAAGCAAATACGGAGGCTCGGATAATGAAACAGTAACTTATTAGGCGAATACTGAATTGGCCCAGAGAACGAATCCATCGACTATTGTCCTTTTTCGAGCCTAGAGAAGATCCCTAGGAAGCCTAGCCCCAAATGCCGTGGAAACCGTAACCCATAACAATCGGCATCCTTGCCCGGCCCAACTCTTCCATTGCCTTGGCATCAATGACAACTAACGAACTGCGCTTAGATGTCGAATCCACAGTCACTTTCAACAGGACTCCATTATCCTCAGAGGTAGGATTGGGATTTGAGACGAAGATTGGCTCTGAAGGTAAATGCTTTGTCTCTGGCGCCCACACCTTCCAACTTCTCTTTTCGCTATCAATTTTAATAATTGAGTCCGCAAAGTTACCGGATGTCTGAACGTGAATTCCGTACGAGAATCGGTAGGCTTTACCATCCCTTACATGATCGATGCGGGGAAGCTCAATTGGATGTTCACCCTTGAAAGGGTAATACTAGATCGGTGGTCCTGATACGAAATTGGACGAAGGATGTTTCTCCCGACTGAATGATACAACGGACCACGTAATTTTCCTCATCCCGGCTACTGACAACCCACCCAACACCGTTTACGAAGCTCTTATTATGAGGTTCGATACATCCTACGATTTTATCGCCTTCGTATGTTTTGATTAGGTAGATATGGCAGGGCTCTATGCCAACCTAGTCGTAGTTCATGATCTAACCAGGTCAATAATAGTAACAACGAATGAACTCTTCAAATGACTACTATATCTTTCTTATCTTAATGCGGATGAGAGAGTTCGATTACAAAGTAAAAAACAGAAATGAAGATGCCAGACCCGACATCTCAACAAAATGAATACTCTTATCTTAATAATTGATCGAGCCCTTTTTCCTTCAGTACCTTCAACAAACATTCTCCATCAAGTGTCAAATTTCATCCAGAGCCCTACGTTTCACATCATATATAGCCATTAAAACACCTGTTACGGTTTTCATAGACCAATGTCACCCAGGTATGACTGCGGCCATCTTTGATCTCTTCCACAATGGTTTGCGGATAGATAATTAGAAAAGGCATGGAAAAAGAGGCCACGCATCCAAGATGCGGCCCACAATCCGGTTATTCTGGATCCAAAGCCTCCCGTCTTAGCTGATGACGACGACCGTGATTTTCCATCGTCTGCATTCGTCGCTCAGTGTCCGTCATTTCAGGCCCGAGTCTCCCAGCAGCACGGTAACCTTCCACCCGGTCGAGAATCCAATTGCAGTCCTTCCAGATTCGTTCACGATTTCTTAGACCATTGATTCGTTGTCGGTTCTTGGTTATATCGCAAAAGAGACGGTACCAATCCGTGTTGGAGACGGGGAGGTGGGTTGCTGGTTGGGACTGGAAGATATTTTCATACTCGGCTTCTTTTTGTTGGAGATGTTCTCTTATCGCCGCAATCGCGTCCTCATTGTTCGAGTCTTGTAGTGCCTCCTCTTTCAAAATTTGAATCCTTGTCTCCAGGAATTCTCGCTGGTGCCGCCAGCCTTCATCTATTTCCCTCACATCCCGGGCCTCCTTGGTAGCCCAAAATGAGTATGGATGTGTACACCAGGCTTCATAAACCCAAGGATAGTTATGTTGAAGCAGTTTTCGGAAGAAATATTGAGGCAGAGTTCTGAAAGCTTTAGATGAAAGTCGAAGCTTCGCGAGATCATCGGGCCCCAAGTGAATTAAGAGCTCTAGACGGATCTCGAATGGAAGCCTGGAGAAGCAATCATCTCCATCCGAGGTACTGCTACAATCTCCAATGGGAACGGCGGCCTCATGGGGATTGGTGATGGCCGATCCCCTTGCCATCGCTTTGCCCAAATATGATTCCAAGGAGGGAACGAAACACGGATTAGCGGCCAAAAATTCATCGCCTGGCCAGTGGTCCCAGTACTGTGAACTACCCTTTCGTACTGCCTTGTCTCTCGGGAACTCGCGATGCATCACATCAAGGGTTGCATCGAGGGAGAACCAGTCCGTCAACGCCTGAATGCTGACCTCCCCATACCGATGAAGACATGCACGCTTGAAAATTTCCAAACAGGTTGGATGAAAAGGCATCGCTAATTCCGGGACCGCCTCAGCAAAAAGTAGGAAGTTGGCGGCCTTTGGTCTGTCAGTGTTATGTCGAGGAGGGTACGCGGCGGGCCATTGGTCATCCACGCCGGGCACCCTGTCACAAAGCCCACTCAGGAAGAAACCGCTTGTTGTCTCAAATTTCTCGTCAATCCTCTCCGGTAGGAAAGTAGTTGAGGGAGATTTTGGTACAAGGCATTGAAGCGTGGAGCATCCACGGGCTTCCTCAGCGGATAGCAAGCAGCCGTTATATCCACCTGTGTTGCGGCAGCCAGGGCCGCTTACATGCTGATAATCCATCCAAAGCCTATCATCTTCCGAGGAAACATTCTCATAGATGTATCTCATGTGTTTGGTCCAAAAATAGCGAAAATCCGGCCTCGTGGCGGGCAAGGACTCGAGAATTGCAGGGTAGAGTAAGTCACCAGCTGGTTCGGGATCAGCAGCATCCATCATGTCATTTGCGGCCTCGGACGATCCGATGGAGGCTTCTTCCTCACTCTCGTTTGGCGTATCGTACTCATACTTCTCCTCAACGGAGCCGGTCTCGGGTTGACAATAGCCCTCATCACCATCATGAAGTCGGTCACTGCCCCGATCGGGGTGGTCATCATCGTCTTGTCTGCCGTCATCAGAAAACTCCAATTCCGCCTGCCAGGTATTGATCACTTGGCATCCTCCAACTTTACACTCGTACTTGTGCCTGTAATCATGCGTCGCCCCCTCCAGCCACGGTCGCCAGGGGACGCCAGCGAAAACCTCCTCCTTCGTGGGATAGCGGCTAACATTGAAGCTCACGCCACATATCTGGCATTTCACTTCCGAGTATCCCATCGAGACAAACGGGCAGGGATAGCGAGACTCGATTTCGACTATGAAGAGATGGAATAGGGGAGGGACTTGGTGGTTCAGGCCGTTGGGAGAGAAGCCTAGAACAAAGCGGGGTCTCACTCATCTGGTTCAGTTCAGGCTGAGGTGAAACCTCCAAGTTTTCAGCTTTAAACTGGGGCGATGGCGAATCAGAGAACCCTGGCTAACAAGGATTATCTCCCTTGCATACTACCACCTCTCGCTGTTGCAGCCTACAAGTGTCTCTAGGGTAGGCAACAGAGTTCAATGGTAATCGCACCTTGGGATGATTAGTCATTCATATTTTGTAACAAGACTCGAGCAATTGAACTTGAACCTTTAATCTCTCCAGCTCAACGAAGCGTCACCGTATGCCATCTCCAAATGATACCAGCCAATACCCGATGGCATGAGTCCTCCAAGATCTGATGGTGATGTTGGCGACACAACAGCCACGACGGCCGGAAAAAGCCGAACCGCAATACCGAGGACACGGAGGGTACGACGATACGGCTTTGCCTGTCTGAGTTGCAAGTCTCGCAAGGTTAAATGCAGCGGAGACCAGCCAACCTGCCGGAGTTGTAGGCGCTCTGGGGAGTTATGCGCCTGGCCACCTCGAACCTCGAGTCTCCTATCTGCCGATGCCCGTGCTCCAGACCAGGCAGAGTCACTAGGTAGCGGGAGCCGAGGAGAGCAGCTCACCGAGGTGGCCTCGATCAACACTCCCTCACAGCAGAATGCCGACGCAAGCCCCCCTGGGAGCAGAGGTGTTGGCACAACCTCTTCTTCCACTAATCGCGACATGGCAACGCCGTCGCTTTGGTTCCAGGTGGGCGTCGGAGACGATGGGACTATTATATACAATGGGCCAACCAGTCGCTTTCATGCTGGTTCCCTGGACGAGGGGCCTGAGATTTTCCAGGGGGGTGAGACTTCGCCTCAGGTTAATACCCTCATGTCCCAGTACACCCTCATGGACTCTGTCTGGATGCCTCTCATCTCGACCAAGCAATATCTCGGAGGGACCAGTGTGCCTACAGAAACTGGGCTAGCACTGCTCGATACATACTGGACTTGGCTACACCCTCTGCACAACTGTGTCTACCGGCCGGCCTTGATAATGGACTTGGCTCTTGGGGGTCCCAATTGCTCCAAGTTCCTGCTCATGTGTATCTTTGGGCTTGTTGCTAGGCATCTCCCGGAGCAACACCCTGGCTTTAACGGCGTCGGCAAGGGGGAGATTTATATATCGGAAGCTAAGCAGTTACTTTTGGAAGAAATGGCCGCCTCCAAACCCTCGATCCCAACCATACAAGGTCTCTTGATTCTAGGAGGACGACAGTGCGCCATGGGGAAGAGTTCTGAAGGTTGGCTCTACACGGGGATGGCCTTGCGCATGATGACCGATATCGGGCTCCATCTCGACACGACGAAACTCGCCCAGTTAGAACGATGGACTCCCTCTGAGACGGAGATGAGGAAGCGCCTCTACAACTCAGCGTATATTTGGGATAAGACATTGAGTCTCGCGCTGGGCCGCCCGCCATCCCTTATACGACGGCCCTACGAGGCCCATGAAATTTTGGATAAGTTTGATGATGAAAGGCCGTGGGCACCCATTCTCGCATTTCAGATCCCAGAAGTATACTTGCCTTGCCCTTCTATGAATACCAGTACTTTCTGTGCTTTTTGTAGGATTCACGAGATCACCGCAGACATGATGCTTCTATTCTCGAATCTTCCAATCCCTGAGCGGTTTTCAACACAAATTAATGACCTAGATAAAAGGCTAGAAGGATGGTACAATGACCTGCCACAGAGTCTGAAGATCACAGAGCCAGTGAATCTTTCTCAAAGTCCGCCACCCCATATCGTTTCTATCAAGTGAGAGTCCCCCCTCCCCTCGGTTCCCCTAACTATCCGTGCTTACATTCTCTAGTCTTCTATACCATGCCCTCCGAATCCTCCTCCGTCGACCATATCTTAGCTCATCAGATTCCCAGCAACGGGATCAACATATGAACGACTGCATCACCTACTCCGTGCAGATCAATGCAATACATGGACTATACGCAAGAACATTCCCTGATCGTCTCATGACGTACCAAGTCAGCTACTGCATTTTCATTGCTGCGAGTATAGAGGTTCAAGAGCTCCAAACTGCGCCGACATCAGAAAGACGGGACGCCGCCGCCAAAAGGCTCACGGCAGCCGTTAAAGTTCTCCAAGACGAAGCTGCGCATACTCCTGGCGTCGGCCGGAGTCTTGACACCATTCGGCGGCTGTTGCGCGCAGACCAGCATAAAAGCCTGAGGAAAGACAGTGCAAATGAACACTCCATCTCTTCTACTCCTACGAGAAGAACTCAGCCGGCTCGAATGTTGGCTAACGCTGGAAATGTGCCGCCGGTCAGCCCTAGACCTGCTGATCTGGCTTTAGTTCGTGAAGTCGCAGATCCCTACCCCATGTTTGCTTCGACAAACTTGTTTGGTGACTTTGACGACGTTGGGTCAGCGTGGACTGACACTGGAGCTGGTTTCCATCCTGAAGTCATATCTTGGTCTGGCACAGATAATCTGCAAAGGCCTTCAAACATGTCTTCATTCAGTGATCAAGCTTGGGGTGGTTTTTGATCAATAAATGTATTATTTAACGGCGGTATATCCCACCTCAGAGGAAAAAGTGTATGCCTACCTACTAATCAAGAAGGAAAAAGGCTTGGATGTAATTAAGTAATTGAGGGGTTTAATCAAAAAGAAAAAGGTTCAGATAGCCTTTCTCTTGAATATTTATTGAGGGGAACTACCTATCAATCAAACATGGGAAGATAGTTCGAGTATAAAGTTAAAAACAACAATAGAAGATGCCAGACCCGATCATCTCAACACAATGAATACGAAAAGGTTTAAAAAAGCTTTGCTCTAGCAATCAAACATATCACGACTGGAGCAATTTTGGACACGAAGCTTTGTCTTAACATTTTCTTCTTATATAACTCTCCTTGGGTTCTTCAAAGAGGAGACTTTCGAAGGAGGGGTAAAGGTTCTACAGAGGCCTAGCAGTCCAAAGACAAATATTTATGTAGATCAAGGTACATAGCGGTACATGGGGTGCGCATCACCGATATCAGCAATGTCCTCCGGAACATGGTCGATATCGCTCTTTCCATGCTTGCTATCGCGCTGCTTATTCTGCCAGCGTAAACTCAGGCTGAGAATCAAGGCAACCAGTGCGGCGAACAACAGCACACCGCAGCATACCCACATCCCTTTCTCATAGTACGGGCCCTCGTTCTTGGGGAACAACCGGGCGCCCAGGATAGGACCGCACTGACCGACCATACCAAAGATAGCGAGGCCGGCACCGCGCTTGGATGCGGATCCTTGGTTGTCTGTGACCCAAGTGAAGGTGAGTGCAACGGCAGGGAAGACTCCAGCACAGACAAGGAAGGTAGCGAAGTAGCGGACGCCGGTGGTCTTGACCGTGGCGAGGATGATATATCCGGCTGCTCCAGCACAGCTGAACAAGACGACGAAGATTCCTCGGGTGCGGACGCGGTCGGAAATGAAGCTACTGAGGATGCAAATGAAGAAGGCGGAAAGGTAAGGGCAGGCGGACAGACCCTGGGCACGCAGTGACGTGAACCCCATGGAGGTCAGGATAGTGGGTAGGTAGGCGGGTAGAGAGCCGAACGCGGTGTTTAGGCAAAAGATGATGACGGCTTGGAGATAGTTCTTGTAGTCGTAGAAGGCGGCAAATACTTGGCTGAAGTTGAGCTTCCCCTGCTGGTCTTGCCCACGGCCCTTGATGGCGCGTGCGGCAATGATGGCATTCTGACGCTCATCAAGATATACGCATTGGCTTGGTGAAGCTGGAAGGTAAAAGTAGGCGGCCACGGCCAGGAAAAGAGTTGGGATTCCCTCTATTCAACATCATCCTAGTTAGCTAGTATGCCCTCAAGGTAGGGTTTGACTAGTTTACATACCAACAATGAATAAAAGTTGCCATTCAGCGATACTGGTCTTAGCATGCACGATGCCGTAGGCCAGAGCAGAGGCAAAGCAGTTCGCCAGGGGTGAGAATGAGATGAAGAGTCCATATCTCAAGCCCATCTCCCGACGGTGATAAAAGAAGGTCATGTAAAGGGCAACGGCAGGTACAAAGCCCGCCTCAAAGGCCCCGATGAGGAATCTTGTTGTCATGAGGCCGCCGAAACTGGTGGCACCCGCTTGGATCATGCTTATGATGCCCCATCCAAACGCCATGCATGCAGTCCACAATCTGATAGGGACAAACTTCCATACAAGGATAAGCTGAAGAGATTGTCGTAATCGTGTTAAAAAATGCTCTATAACCTCTGTGCATCCATCATTTGGGGGGGGAATTACTTACCCAATGGAAGACAATGTAGCCAATGTAATAGCTAGTGACAAGCCAGGAGTATTGATCTGAGGTAATGCCCCATTCCGAACCCATTCCCGCAGTGTATGCATTCCCAATATTTCCTCGGTCGATGTATGACACCATGTAAAGGAGGCCGAGCCTATGTATTGGTTAGTTCGCCCCTTGCTGATATCTGTTATGGGAAGCCTGGCTCATAGGGGTCTTACAGGGGAATCAAACACCAGTCCAGTTTCCGGACAGCCTTGGCTTCCTCTTCAGGGCTCCAAGTGGTCAAATCAGATTGATCTTGCTTCATGCTATTCTTTTCAGCATCACCCACGCCAAATGAGGGAGCATTATCTTCGACATGAGAAGTCTGGTCGGGCGACATCTTGCTGGTTTGATCCGAAACCTGCTGATCTATGTTGGCGTTGGTCATCGTTCAACTTGGTAAGTAGCCTCCTGGGAGAGAATATAAAAAGATTTGAGCGTTGGATGATGATGGTCGAACCATTTCTCATAGTCGATGGACATTGCTTCTCTTTAAGCACCCATCTCGATTCCCAATGTTGCTGCTTGATGAAGTCAAAAGTTGCGGGGTG